CTTGTGTGACATGGTATTTCCTGGTCAGGCTCAGGGTCCCCGTGAGAGGCAGGCGGTCGCCATGGCTCCCTGTCACCTCTACATGGGGTGCTGATGGGGCTTTCCAAAGCTTGGCTGGTTGGATAGTTTTGCTCTGAGAGCCTGTGATTTTTCGAAATTTTTGCTGCTTCTTTTTATGTAGCTATTTTTATAACATGAGTAGAGATTGAAATAGCTTTTTTCTCTGAAGTCTCAGTTCAGTCTGTCTTCATTTTTCCTGATAAGCGGGAAGTAGGTTATATGTCCTGCCCTGGAGTCACTGAGTGAGGCTGTTGCTTTGGTGAGGCCACGTCTTGTTTTCCTCTGTGGCTCTGGAGTTTGCTTTGTGGTGAGGGGCGGGGCACATGCACTGTTCAGCCAGCGCCCATTAGGTCCCTGTGGGAAAGGGGTCCGGCTCTGAGGAGGGCTGGGTCCTGGAGTGTGCAGGGGCTGAACAGTCACCACCTGTGTTCCTCCCACCAGCAGACATGCCAAAACATACATAGGCACATGCCTGTACACATGCACATACATGTATACATGTGCACACACAGATATATGCACATGTGCACACATGTATACACATGCACACATGGAGACCCACCTACATGTATACATGTGCACTTGTGCACACACAGACTGGCACACATGCACATGTATGCATGTGCACACATGTACACACATACACACGAAGACCTGCACACATCAATGTAAATTTATACATGAGCACATGCATACACACATGCACACAGAGTATGTGTGCATGCACATACATGCATACATGTGCACACACGGAAACATGCACACGGAGACCTGCACACATGCACATACATGTATGCATGTGTGCGCACACAGCAGCACATATGCACATAAATGTATGCATGTGCACACGTGTATGCACACAGACACCTACATATGTGCATACATTTGCACACGTGTACACACATGCTCATGGAGACCTTCAGACATGCACATACATGTATACATGTGTAAGCTTGTGCACACGACCTGCACACATGCACACACAGATGTCTGCACATGTGCACATTCATGTATACTGTGCACATGTGTACAGACACCTGCGCACACAGGTACACACACTGGCCTGAGCTCCTGTGGAAGCTGCTGGTGCAGACCCTGCACATGTGGTTGCTGGGGCTGAGGGGCCCTGCTGCAGGGTGTCCTCTCTGTTGTCAGGGCTCACGACTCAGGTCCCTTCTGCTGGTGGTGGAGGCAGGAGGGGTGTGGGGAGCCTTCTGCTGCAGCCCCGTGTCCTGTCCCATGTCCACCCTGCATTGTGCCCCATGTCCCACCCCATGTCCACTCTGTGTCCCACCCTGTGTCTGACCTGTGTCTGCCCTTTCTCCACCCTGCGTCCCTCCCCATGTCCCGCCCTGTGTCTGCCCTGTGTCCACCCTGTGTCCCTCCCCGTGACCACCCTCTTCCTCCTCACTTCGAGCTGCCCCCCACTGATCTGCCGTCCCCAACCCATTTAGGGGTTACCAGCCTGGCCCCTTTGTCACCCAGTGCCCTGCCGTGCTCTGCCTGTGGCCCTGCCCCGCGGCTCTGCAGGGAAGCTGCTCCCAGCTCTTCATGCCGGGCACTGACTGTGCAGAGGGTCTTCAAGGAACCTTTACTTTGTAACATTTTTTACTGTTCACCAAACTGTGCTCGGTGGCTTTCCCATCCATGCCCCTCCTGTGGTGGGACCCAGTTCTGTCCTGGCGTCTCCTCCGTCCTCCCTGGTCTGTAACAGCCTCCCAGACTTTCCTACGTGCAGGCCTGCCATGGAGCCTGTAGAGTGTCCTTCACATGGGGTCTGTCTGGTGTTTCTCATGATTACACTGAGTGATGGGTTTTGGAAGAGGCCCATAGAGGTGCAGGGCCCTTCCCGTCACACCGTATCAGGGTCCTGACGTCCGCATGGCTTTCTGATCACCTGGCCAAGGTGTGTCTGCCAGGTGTTTCCTCTGTGAAGTGCCTGGTTTCCTGCTCACTCTGTTCTCTGGAAGCCAGTCACTGAGTCCAGACCCTGCCTTCCAGAGGGACTGTCTGCGGACGTTATGTAGAATCCCTCTGAGAAGGAGCTCTTGTTACTTGTTTGTGGTCATTTGTTTTGACACTATGGACCGATGCCCATTTATTTTCACTCTGGTTGGTAATACAGCGCCATCACTGTGAGTTGTGTCAGGGTTGTGATCCGGTGTTATCACTGTGAGTCCGTGTCCGGGTTGTGATCCGGTGTCGTCACTGTGAGTCCGTGTCCGGGTGGTGTCCGGGTTGTGATCCGGTGTCGTCACTGTGAGTCCGTGTCCGGGTGGTGTCCGGGTTGTGATCCGGTGTCGTCACTGTGAGTCTGTGTCCGGGTGGTGTCTGGGTTGCGATCCGGTGTTGTCACTGTGAGTTTGCCGCTCAGCTTTCCAGCTTTGGCCGTGGGTGTCTCTCCATGTCTTCGTGCGTCTTTTGCGTGCCTCTTTTGAGCCCTTCCAGCTTTCCGGATGCTGCTGGCCCAGATTCTGTTTCTCTGCCCGGCCCTAGAATCAGCTGTTTCTCCAGGGAACCCTAGCTCTTTTTAGGGGAGCGTAGAAACTCCGATCTGGGCTCTGCGAGGGCCATTGCTACTGGGGAGTCATGGCGGCCGGCCCTCTTGCCGGGCAGAGCTGGGCTCTGTGTGTCATTGCCTCATTTCACAGACGTGGTTGTTTCTCTGTCGTATCCACTGTCTGTAAGTCTATGACGGTGAACCTGGTCCATGCCTCTGTCTCTGATGCCCACCCGGCATGCAGCGTATGCAGCCTTCCCTCCTGGCTCATCTGAATCCTCCCTCTCTGCTAGTGAGAACCTGGCTCCCCTGCTCCTCTAGCGTTTGCTCAGCCCTGGTGCACGTGCACAAACTCTCCGCCCAGGCCCTGGGAAGAGCGCTGGCATGCAGCATTTGCACACAGCTCCTGTGTGCTTGTGGTCTTCACTCAGACCCGTTCTGGAGTTGCTCAGGCGGCTCCTGCCCTCCGGTCGGTGGTCTCATTCACCTTCGTGCGTGTGTAGCCTGCACTCCATCTGCATCCCCCGACCTGTTGCTTGGGTCTTTCCCCAATACTTGGTGTGCGTTAAAGTTGATCCTGCGTAATGCTCAGTGCTGTGGGCTTGCCAAGTGCATCGAGAGCTCTATCCCCCAGCTCCAGCCCCCAAGTCCGCCGTGCAGGGGGGTGACCCCTACCCCCAGCAGCCCTTGGCATGCCTGGGCCTGTCTTCCATCCCTCCGGTTTTGCCTTTTCCAGTGTGACATACGAATGGCCTCACACAACACGTAGCCTGTTGGGTCTAGATTCTTTAACTTAGCAGCATGCACTTGCACCCATCCAGGCTGTTGCCTGAACCAGCAGCTCCTGCATTCTTACCTGTGAATATTGCTCTGTTGCCCCAGTGCTCCCCCGGTTATTTATCCACGTCCACTTTGAAGGACGTCTTCCTTGTTTCTGGCTTTTAGTGATGACGAGCAGAGCTGCTGTGAGCATCTGCACGAGGCTTCTGTGTGAACGCGTTTCCAGGTGGAGCCCCTGAGAGGTTCAGTGGCTGGGCTGTAAGGCCACCCTTCATTCCCTGGGTAAGACGTCACCCGTCTGCTGTCCACAGCGGCACGCCGCAGGCATCCGCAGCACAGTGAGGGCACTCGCGCTGTCCAGAACCTTCCAGAGCGTGGGGCGCTGTCCGTTTTTAATCATTCTGGCCACAGGGACACATGTGTGGTGACGTCACATGGTGGTTTTAGCTGGCGTTTCCCCGTGACGAATGACACTGAGCGACTTTTTACGCGTTATCTGCCGTCTGGAGCCCTTGCCCTGTGAGAGGCAGACTGCTCCCGTGTCTGTTGAGGTCTACGGCCTGTGTCTTTTCTTCCCACCCTTAACACTGGGCTGTCTGTCTTCTAACGATCGAGGTTAAGAGCTCTTTGAATGTTCTAGATACAAACACTTTATCAGAGATGGGATTTGCCAGTACTTTCTTCCCATCTGTGGCTTGTTGCTTCATTCTGTTAAAAGCAGCTTTTGCAGATCAGAAGTTCTTCATTTTGATAAGTTCAGTTGATAGTTTTTTCTTTCCCAGATGATGCCTCTGGTGTGGCCTCTGAGGACTGGCTGCCAGGCCCGCCACGGAGTTTCTCCTGCGCTTCCGTCTGGAAGCCTCATGCTCTTGTGTCTTACGTTTAGGTCTGTGACCTTTTGTCAGTCAGCTTGTGTAAGCTGTGAAGTGTGTGCAGGCCCATCTTTTTCCATGTGGACATCCATTTGTTCCCACATCATTGTCAGAGACTTTTCGTTTGTGTTTTATTTATTTTGTAGAGCCTGGGTCTCACTCTGTTGCCCGGGCTGCTGTGGAACTCCTGGGCTCAAGCAGTCCTCCTGCCTCAGCCTCCCAAAGTGCTGGGCTGACAGGCATGAGCCACCGCTCCCGGCCTGAGACTGTTCTTTCTCTGTGGAGTCGTCTTTGAACCTTTGTCAGCATGTGTTCACTCTGTGTGTTGGGTTGGGAGCTGGGGGGGTCTATGTCCGGGCCCTCTCTTCCATTCCAATAGTCCTGTGGCTCTTCTTTAACCAACACTATGCTGTATTCATGTGGTCTCCATTAGCCTTTTAATGAGTCTTAAATCTGGGTAACGTGAGTCCTCGCCTCTGTTCTTTTCCAGATGATTCTGGCTGTTTTAGTGCCTTTGCCCTCCCGTGTACCTTCTAGAATCAGCTTATCGCATCTGCAGAAGCACTTACTGGGTGTTTTGGTTCAGATTGTGCTGAATTTATGAATAAAATTGACAATGATTTTGATCCCTCCAATCCATGAAGATGGTCTGTCTCTTCAAATGTTTAGATCTTGTCTTGGTTTCTTTTGATCAGTGGTTTGTAGTTTTCCGTGTGCAGATTCTGTTTACATTTTTTAGATTTATAAATGCATGGGGAGAAGTACAAGTACCAGCTTCCTACGTGTCTATGCAGACACTCACCCCAAACCAGCACGCGCGTCTACACAGACACGGACCCCAAACCAGCTTCCTGCGCGCAGTAGGAGGCCACATGTACTTTGGGCTTGCTCTTGTGATTTTTTTTATCGTTGTGCAGTATCTTCCTTTATCCCTGTGTCATTCCTTGTCCTTAAAAATACTTTTTTTTTTTTTTTTTTTTGAAATGCAATCTCACTCTGTTGCCCAGACTGGAGTGCAGTGGCACAATCTCGGCTCACTGCAACCTCTTCCTCCTGGTTTCAAGTGATTCTCCTGCCTCAGCCTGCAAAGTAGCTGGGACTACAGGCGTGTGCCACCACGCTCAGCTAGTTTTTGTATTTTTAGTAGAAACGGGGTTTCGCCTTGTTGGCCAGGCTGGTCTCAAACTCTTTGACCTCAGGTAATCCGCCTGCCTTGGCCTCCCAAAGTGCTGGGATTACAGGTGTGAGCCACCACGCCTGGCCAGATCTACTTTCCGTGTTGTGAACAGAGCCACTCCAGCTTTCTCTTATTTGTTGTTAAGTGTTTTGTAGCCATAATGAACTAGATCAGGTTGTGGCTCACACTTGGGTGGTGTATGTTTTTTACTTTTAGCCTACTTTTTCGTTCTTCACCTTTACACACGGGCACGCGGTGCTCTCCCCGTCGGCATCTCTGGGCGAACACTGAGCATTCTGCAGACACTGAGGTTGAAGGTGCCGTTGTGGGGGTGGGCATTGTTGGACGTGAACTCAGAGGCCTGTGGTTTTCGTGGAGGGTGCGTGTGGCTTACCTGCAGGCAGTAGGCACCAAGCCTGTGGCGTGTGCTGGGAGAGACCCGCCGACCGTAGCCAGGGTCACCGGGGTGCGTTTCATTGTGGGGAATGCTGCCTGCAGGGCGGGTGGTCAGCCACCTGTCTGCGTGCAGCAGGCATGGATTTCATATGAGCGTGTCTAGTTTACTCACATGTGTTTGCGTATACACACACACTGCGTCTTCTGCAGGTTGGCTTTTCCAATATTTCCCCCAAGATTTTGAGAAAGTACTCAGACTCCTGAGTCTGAGGTTTGAGCCCCAAATCGCTGGCCAGACGGCGCCTCCCCTTCTCGCCCCGCCCTGCCCTGCACGTCCGAGCAGCGCCCACGGGGTCCACACGTTTTGTTCATAGTCATGCTCATTTTGTCTTCTTTTTCTTCCAGTTGTGGCGTTCCTGGTGGCTTTCCATCAGAACAAGCAGCTGATCGGAGACAGGGGCCTGCTCCCCTGCAGCGCGTACCTGAGGAGCGTCCAGCAGTACTTCCGGGGCAGGGTGGGCTGGGACGCCCTCAGCTATGCGCCCACCGTCCTCTGGCTGATGGACTGGTCAGACATGAACTCCAACCTGGACTTGCTCGCTCTCCTGGGACTGGGCGTCTCGGCCTTCGTGCTGATCACGGGCTGTGCCAACATGCTTCTCATGGTGGCCCTCTGGGGCCTCTACATGTCCCTGGTCAATGTGGGCCAGATCTGGTGAGTAGGAGGAGCGGGCGGTTGGGGATCAGGGCTTCTGTCACTCATCTTACTAAGGCCGAGGCAGAGCGGCCAGTCTGCCAGCCAGAGCAGCGGCCCATCCTCGGGTTAAAACCCCAGCTCTCTGCAGGGTCTCAACCTCATGTAAGGGACTGCATTGCTAGCCTGCTGCAGACACAGGACTGGGAGAGGGAGGCAGAAGCAGCGGCTCCATGTCTGTGTGGACGTGTAGGAACCCGCTTTGGGGTGTGTGTGTGTGGACGTGTAGAAGGCTGGTGTGGGGTGTGTGTGTGGACGTGTAGGAGGCAGGTGTGGGGGGTGTGTGTGTGGACGTGTAGGAGGCAGGTGTGGGGTGTGT